TCAGACACACCTAAAAATGTGAAAAGGATTCACTGACTGCAGCCTACCTGGCATGGCTGTTATGTGCTCGAGCAAGCTCTGGGGCATTTCCGATTGCGTAACCTTTGCTCTGAAAAATACATAAAAAGTGAAAGTTAAGCGTGACAGTGCGAAAGGCGAAGGGAGAGAGAGCGCAAAAAAGAAACGAGCAATTCAGACCAAGACGTTGATACGAATGTAAAAAAATATCCTGATTTGAATCTCAGAGCCGATTATCAAGTGAGAAGTGTAAATACACCATCAGCATAAATCAAAACGGCATTCATGAGCGAGTGTGAGGACTTACTTCTGGACTGAAGCCTTTAGTAAAAGCCTTCATACGACTGAGGGTGGTGCCAAGTTCAACTCCGCTGCAGTTGAGGAGGACGCTCAGCAAAGCGTGGGTGGCACATGAATTTGGTATCAGCTGGTTGTCAAATGACAGACATGAAGAAAAACAAATTAGATGTTGCATTTTAGTTTCCTTTTGCAAGATACAAATACAAAGATGTGCACTATTGAAGGGCTTGTTAACTTTGCCCTATTCTGGGGCACTAGTGGTTGAATCCAGCTCTGCTTGGTTGGATAAGTTGGATGAATGTCAGGATGAATGCGCACCCTTTCATGACCAAAAATGTCCCTCTGTGTTCTTGTAGATATTTGTTTTTTAGTCTTCTTCTTAACTGGGAAGTCTCTTTAGAACAGGGGTCTCAAACTCGTGGCCTGTGGGCCAATTGAGGCCCGTGGGATGATATTTTGTGGTCCCCTACTTGACATCAAAGTTCAGCGTTAGTGTGGCCTTTTTTCTCACGTGCACTTGTGCAAGTCGTTGCCCTGAGCGTTTAATATTTTTTATCACTTGTGGGCTACCGTAGCTCAGGCTCGTGACAGCAACACGAACTAGCAACGTTAGTCACTTGAAACTTGGGCGTGTCACCAAGTGGAGAGAAAATACATCCTGTCACCCTTTTTTTCTATCTGTGTGAAAAGCTCTTCTCCACCATGAACTGTAATAAGTCAAAGCACAGGTCCAAACCTACTGATGAGCATCTTCAAGCCACACTGAGGGTCTCAAATGTTTCCTCTCTCAAGCCAAATGTGGCTCAGCTGTGTAGGAGGAAGCGCTGCAGGTCTCTGGCAGCAAGGAGGAGGTAAGACGAGCCCTATGTTCTGAAGCATGTTCATGTTCTGAATTGTTATTAATGAAGATTGAGAAGATTGGATCAGTTGTTTCTGGAATACTTGAAACCCTTTTTTGGTGGAATACTTGATGTGGCCCAGCCTCACTCAGACTATCTCTAGCGGCCCCCAGATAAGCTGAGTTTGAGAGCCCTGATTTAGAATGAGATCTTTCAAATATGTTTTAGGAGTTTCTTTTAATATTACAGGGACGACTAAAGAAAGAAATGGTGGGAATGATGTGTTAAAGGGTCTGGGAAGGAATCAAATCTGGACCATTGCAGTAAAGTCTAGGTATTCTACTAGATGAGGAATGGTAATAGTAGTTGGTCAACAAAAAATAGACCCAAATAGAAAATGCCTCAGCTAACCTTATTTTACCAATGACTGCATGCATAATATAAGCATTAGAATTCGCTTTAATAAATATAATATCTGTATTCATACTGCAAAATAGTGAAGCATTTTTTTCCAAATAGCAAACGAAAAATGCCTCAAAACACAGTTATTTAGTGCAAATGTACCGTGTTTCCTGTGAATAAAGTTTGCTCAGGAGCAACCTACCGTAATTATATAATGCACAGCACCACAACGTGTAACATCTGCAGAAGGTTTAATGACTGATTAGAAACATCCATGATCAGAGAAGCGCTTACCTGATGAGCGAAGAACATATCATTTACGATTTCCTCATCGATGACGGAGGTCTCATCCACCAACGTGTTGACTTTCCTCCTGGACCGACGCTCCTCGATCCACTTGAACAGGAAGATGAAGCCATAGACCGGACTGGAAGATAAAATCACCAGTTTTTACAAGTTGCTGCTAAAAGTTTAACGAGACGGTAGAACGGTGTTTATAGTCAGACGTACGTGTTGAATGTCAACAGCAGTTACTAGGTAGTTTTGAATGAAGAAAAGATCGAACATCGGCCAAACTGATGATCAGATCTGATAGTTTTCCGATCATTGGTATTATTATGTGTTTTAACCATCTCCTTAAAATGTGCTACCGCCTTTTCTTTATCTTTAAAGCTAATTCACGAGTCCCACATCCCCATGTCTGCACGGGTACATGCCGAAAATCGTGTCATCCACCCAAGTCCATGCAATCCTTTGTGGACATTCATGTGCAGCCCTAAATGTGCGAAATCCCGGACCATCAGCACTGCAAGAGTCCCCAAATGCACACCCATCCATCCACTACCTATATGCCGCCTAATCCTCACCAGGGTCGTGGGGCGCTGGAGTCTATCCCAGATGACTCAGGGTGAAGGCAGGTTCACCTGGACAGGTAACCAGTCTATCACAGGGCTACACTTAGAGACAGACAACCAAGCACACTCACATTCACACCTACAGACAATTTAGAATCACCAATTAACCTCAACATGTTTTTTGGACTTGTGGGAGGAAGCCGGAGAACCCGGAGAGAACCCACAGGGAGGACATGCAAACTCCATGCAGAAAGATCCCGGATGTCCTCACCAGGACGTGAACCGGCGACCTTCTTGCTGTGAGGCAACAGTGCTAACCTCCGCGATACCTTGGTTGCCAACTGCACATGTGGCAGGAAAACAAACAGCACTTACCACAAACATCTGTCATAAGGAGAGACCACGTAACGTACACTCACCGTCTTCCACACCTTTACAGTTAAACATTACACGAGTTGTAATAGAAGTAGCTGCTGCCAGACTTTGGAGGGGCTTTGATTTGTGCACGCTGTACTTCAACGGGACCCAAACACAGTAGGAAGTTCTAAACTCTCTAGAAAGCCTGTATTTTTCCAGGTCATAATGCTACTACTAGCTGCTGCATTCCCTAAAAAGTGCAAAGTCCCAGGCAGCCTTTTAGAGGTCCTGGGACTTTTTCTGTGATCGACATGAGAGGCAACGAGACCGTAACCCGATGCGTACCTATTATAGTATGAATAATGGTACATCAATTGGAAATATCAGTTATCACTCTCCTTGAATGGGAATAATTGGTATCAGGAGGACGTTAGCCAAGCTGACATCCATCATGGACAACACCTGTCACCCCCCGTATGACACTGTGGGGACTCTGAGCAGCTCAGCAGACTGATCCACCCACGGTGTAAGAAGGAGCGCTACCTCGGGTCCTTCATCCCAACCGCTGTGAGAATCTACAACAACTTGTTCCAGTTCTTCTCTCCATACTGCATCTTTGTATAACATATAATATTATACGCAGGTTTTCTCACGTGCAATACAATCCTTACTGTGTGCAATTTATCTGCCTTATGGGCAATAATTGTACCATATTTTATTGTATTCTATTTATCTTTTTTATTTTTAATTCACAGTAACAATTATATGGACCTATAGTGTATATAGTGTGTGTGCTCTATCGTACTACATTTCCCAGGTCTTACTATTTATAGTTTATTTGTTCTTTTTTCTTCCTGTCACTTTTTTGTGCTCTTTTCCAGTTTCCATACTGCTGCAACAATGGGAGTTTCCCCCATTGGTAGTGAAAAATAAAGTGCAATCTAATATAATCAATACCAACCCTAAAAGGACCAAATCAGTCAACCCACAGATTAATATCCAGATACGTACCTCTGGCACTTGCTTTGAAGATCATAGATTTCCTCCACTTGGACCCCTTTGACACCTACAGAATAAACACAGTTAACAGGAATCCACTGCAGCACTGTGGGACTTTTAACTCTCATGTGTGTCAGCTACTCACCGAAATCCTCCACCAGCAGAGTGAACAGTCCTGCAAGTAGAAAACATTTGAGATTCAAAAAACGTAGTAAAGCTACTACAGCACAAACATGAACCACCACTGTGCGCACGTAGTCCTCCGTAGTTTCTCCGCCAAAATCCACCACAACACGCTCATTGACGTTTTACCCAACCGTGTATTGCACTGAAGTTTGTTACGTCAAGCAGCTTAGGGAGCTAATTTGTCCATCTGGCTTAATGGTGAAGCTAACGCTGGTTAGCTGTTGTGTCTGTCGATGTTTCTCACCTGGATCACTCTCGAGCTCCAGCCAGCCTTTGTTCATTTTTGCATGTGTGCACAGCGGACTAAATATTTAAGACGTCCTCCAGTCCATGTCCGAAGGCAGGCTGAGAATCTCCAAACATAACGCCGCATCCATTCACGAAACAACTGTGGAGTGCTCAAGATAAACACAATAGAGACAGAACTGGCCGCCTGCGAAATCCGTCATCAAGGAACGACGGGGGGTCGCGAAAAACAGTCCGACGTGCAACTTCCGGTAGTCGAGCCGAATAGAAAGAAAAAAAAAATCCGACACACTGGAAGAAAAAAAAAAAAAACACTGAATGAATGGATCAAATCATTAATTTCAATCAATCAATAAGCGTATTATTAATCGAGAATAGTTGATTGTGATGGCATTTAACAAAATGCATTAAACAATTGTGAAAATAAAAGCGAAGTTACATAAAAAAAGGAAATATAAAATAAATATAAATATAAAGGAAACCATTAAGTCACTGGAATATTTTTCGAACTAGTGGCCATTTGTATTTAAAAGAGCTCCGCATTACCTTCTACGGATACCATATTTTTTACATTAAAAAAAAAATAAACATACAAAATTAACAAATATTTAATGACAGCTAACGAAAATATTAGAATATTCACATCTGTAAACAATATATAAAAGTAATGCGTCATATAAAATTGAAAACATTCCCGTGTGTGTGCTCGTTTGTAGGTATGACTGAAGGGAATACTAGTTGAGAAGCTGGAACCGAAGTTGGAGTAACCTCTACGGGGACAGTATTTATGGTCACACTGACCAAAAAAAAATTGGATATTAGCAACGTTTATCAGTTCATTTACACAGTTACTGTACTTATTGGTTGCCTGACCGGTACGTACACTAAAGGCCGGACTTCTAGGGCAGTTGTGTGTCCGCCTGTTCCCGGTAAGCTCCGGTAGCGCCGCGATGTCCGAGTCGAAGTGACGCGTCTTAGTTAGCCGACTGCGTTAGCCTCGGCTGTAATTTGGGTTAGCATTAGCTACGTGAACGCTGCACCGACACAATATTAGATCGTTATCGCGCTGCGACAGCCGACAAAACCGTCGGTTCGGCGAACAAAACCGCTTTTCATCCAGCCCGAGTCGCGGCCAGGTGTTCTGCTTCTGCTGCCACCGGCGAACCGCGGAGGTTACGTGTGTTTCAACGTTTGAAATTGCGTTTATTGTTGTTATCTGGCGCATCGCTTTGCTGATTCAACCTGAGAAACAGCAGCATTTGTGTGCATACAGCTAGGCAGCCCAGTAAATAGGCAGCACACGGCATTTTCTTGGTGTTGTTGGTGCTGCTGAGGAACAATAAGTTAAGAGGATGGCAGCAGAGGAGGCTCCATGCTACCTGCTAGCTGCCTCCATCCTCGGCTCTGGAGCCATTAGGGGGAAATCCCTCCCACGTCATGTGTAACACAAACTCTCATTTTTATATCAAAGATTGCTCTCTGATCAGTCCTAACATTCTTCAACTATGGACCCAGATGTCTGGTATTAAAAACATCCTACATGGTTGCTGTATCAGCCTAATAACAAAAGCCTAATGAGGCTTGATCACAAAAGGGACAAACTTTAAAACAGTGTGAATCCTCTCGAAGTCAGTTCCGTGTTATTAGACATCAGGTTTGACTTCATGTCGTTATTTAGAGTATTGATGCTGACCTTAATTTCCACCCACATCGAAGCAGCATCACTAAGACAATAATCTTGGGAAAGATTTAAGCGCTTTCTTGTGTTTGCACATGTAGATCATCATCACTGCAGTTTCCTCACTTTTGCAATTCACTCTGATGCATGTCTGATTCTTGATTCTATTCATAATCTCCCACCCCCACCTCTTAGAGGAGGCCCAGGCAGTGGCCGTGCAGGTAGGACTAGAGCCTTTAATGGAGGTAACTTGGTACTGCAGCTCAGAGGAACGGCCTTTTGACATTTAAAGCTGGAGGAAAGTGAAATTCCATCCCCACAAACTTTAGAGACTCGGGAAGCTTTGCAGCGTTTGAAACCAGCCTTAAGGTTTGGCTAAAGTCAAAGTGTCACCAAGAATGATGGACTGTTATCATGTTGTTTTATGTGGTGCACTTGTTGTGTTGTGGTTGTTTTTTTTTCTACTTGCTCAGGGACAACAGGTGTAAATAATCTGCTGGCTAACTCTGGTGCTTTTATCCCTGCAAAAATAGACAAGAAAATATCAATGAAATGAACAGTATCTATTGTAACATGGCTCTCTAAATGTTAGGTTATAGATAGACACTGCAGAAATGGCAGGATGGTGTTAGAGACAAGGTTTCACTCAGGTTAGAGTAAAAGGAAAATATAAATCAATGGCGACACTCGCTTTTCTTTCCTGTAAAAAAATAAATAAATAAATACATTTCATAGCTTCAGCTTGTTGAAAACTCATCTGTTTGCTCGCTGGCCACCTTGGACTCAAGGATTTTTCCGTGGGTTGAAACTTATCTCCAGATGATGTATCTGCGTTGTTTAAGCTCCAACATTGCAAGAGATTAATTTACATCATAGTTAATAGCTTCAAGTTTTAAGAGTTCATTCAAAATCTGGTGATCAAACTCCTCAGTGCTTCTTATGGTCTCCCTTGTGATGAATGTGTGTGTGTTTATTTGTGTTAAAGTATTGATGTGTTAATAAGTTAAGATTATCACTGACTTTTTCATAATCGATTGTAAAGATACCGACCATTTCCTAGTTTAAATTTCCCTGCACTGTGAACTCTAATGTGGAGATGTGGTGTGTTTGCTTATCTTAGGGCTCCTGATGAAGGTGTGCAGGTAATACTTTGAGAGCCCCGTAAGACGCCATGTCTGAAGAGGCAATTTCAGAGAGCGACCTGGAGGCCAGCCTTAACAGTGAAGAGGAATACTTGGAAAATGAAGAAGACGAGGACAACGAGGACATGGACGAAGATGAGGATGAAAATGATGGAGATGATGAAGATGATAGTGTTGGTGAGTGACAAGTCAACTCTTTGTGCCTGTTAATACTCTAATCCAGTCCCATGTGCAAAGCTGAGGAACTCTGTGGTGAATGTTGACTAGTTTCTAAAGACGTCTGTTGATATGCTGTCTATTCTCTCCCAAGACCGACCCGGGAGCGCCCAGAGCCAAACAGAAACGGCTCAGGATGGCAGGGACTCCACCTCAGCTACCTCCGGAGAGCCTTCCTCTGAGCCTCCGTCTCAGCCTGCGTCCCGCCCGTCCTCCAGGGCTCCCTCCAGACCTGCCTCTCGTTCTCAACCTCCGACCAGCCCCGAGAACTCAAGCCAGAGCAAGCCACCTTCCAGCAAAGCAAAGAAACAAAAAGCCTCTAAACTAACCAAATCCTCCAAGTCTTCAAAAGGCTCCAAACCTTCCAAGCCATCTAAGCCTGCACACATGAGGAAGAATATCAGGTACGTTTATCGTTTTACAGGTTTCGATGTAATCCACCTTTTGTGTTCGTGTGTGACCTGATTTTTTTCTCTGTGCTTGCAGAAAGTTGCTGAAAGATGATCAGCTGGAGGCTGGGACCAAGGCTGCTCAGCAGGAGGAGATGGAGAGGCGGAAACGTCTGGAGCAGCAGAGGAAGGACTTTCCTACACCGGCCCCAGCTGTTCCCGACTCTCAACTAGGTGACTGTGATCTACAGTCGACAATATTCCTGTTTGACAGCCTTTGTAGTACTTTGGCTTCAGTTCTAAATTTCTCCTCCCATATTTCCAACAGTGGACCCTGCTTCGATTTTAGGAGAAGTATCTCACTTGGTCCCTGGTCTCCTGAGCAAGCAGGATGTGATCTGTCTGGACAGCAGCGGTGAGGAGGATGAAAAAGTGGAGCCTAAGTTGCCCACACTTGCCCTTGGAGACGGTAAGCTGGACCACAGTTCTGTGGGTCGTTCCATCTCAAATCATCAGATTTTTTTCAACAATTTCTGCTCAACCATCAGTGCCTGACATTTTTGTAGCATAAAATCCAGATATTCATAAAGATATCTGTAAAATATCGGCTTAATTGAGCAAATTCCTTCCAAGATAAAAATGAAAATGTGAAAAAACCTGCTGCAAGTGGCGTTTTCCACACATTTTCATTTCATTTGAGGCTATGTTTTAATGACAATATCTCAGGAACTCAACTGAAATTTTTACTGTTATTTCTCATCACGGCGTTGAATCAGAGTCTAGAATATTGGACAAAAACTATTATTAAAGTCAATTAGTGATGTTGTTCAACCATGTGTAGTTGTGTCACATTAATACAAAGCATGTAGATTTTTTAAAATCTAAAATACTTGGTCACAAAAATGAAAGAAAAAAGTTATTATCATTAAACTTTGATAAGTGATTGAGCAGCTATGACAAGTTGTACCAAAAATATTGCTCCGTAACCTGATCCTGGCTTTTTTCTTTCCTGAGATATTGACATTCAAACATAGCCTCAAATTTCAATGTGCTAAAAGTGGATAGACTGGCTATTAGTGAACCTTAAATAATCTCAAAAAGTATTTGATATATCGATCCAAAATTTCAGAAGCAGCAGAAGGCCCCTGATCATTTGAGATAGAATAACCGAGTGATTCCAAACAATATGAGATTTAATGAGCCGCTAACACAGTTCTCGCGTCACAAATGATGATGCAGACGTAATCGAGCTCAGTTCTGGGGACGAAGACGCCCTGCAGATAAGCAGCGAGTCAGCGGATGAGGATGCTGATGGTGCGCCGGGCTCAGAGGAGAGCAGCGGAGCGCACATCAACGACGCTCTGAACCTGCCCGATGCTCAGGGTCAAGTCCTGGTTAACATCAATCACCCTGCAGAGGAGAAAGACATTTACCTCGCCCCACAGCTGGCCAGAGCTGTGAAACCTCACCAGGTGTGGCTGCATTCGAATCTCAAACTCACTAACGCTCGTTAGCAGAAACTAGCTTGTTTCAACATTTTTCTCTTTTTCTCTAAGATCGGAGGAATTCGGTTCCTGTATGACAACCTCATCGAGTCTTTGGAGCGGTATAAGACCAGCAGTGGCTTTGGCTGCATCCTGGCTCACAGTATGGGGTTGGGCAAAACACTACAGGTTATTTCCTTCATTGACATCCTGCTGAAGAATACTGAGGCGCACACTGTGCTGGCCATTGTCCCTGTGAGTAATCAAAGCGTATTCATGTCATCGGGGGGGGATGCACATTCATGCTCCCTGAGGTCACTGTTTTATTTTCATTTAATTAACCTCCCAAACTTTTGTTTTCCTTCACACAAGGTAAACACGCTACAGAACTGGCTGACGGAGTTTAACCTGTGGCTCCCACCTCAAGAAGCCCTTCCCCCCGACACTGACCCCACACTCGTCACTGGCCGCACATTCAAAGTTCACATTCTCAACGACGAGCACAAGTACGTAAGGCGCCGGTTTATGTGCAGAGTTAAACATGAAATGTTTGAGCTGTTATTCATCCTGGCTGTGTGACCTTCAGAACGACACTGGCCAGGGCCAAGGTCGTGGAGGACTGGTCCAGAGATGGAGGCGTGTTGCTGATGGGCTATGAGATGTACCGCCTGCTGTCCATGAAGAAGAGCTTCGTGATGGGAAAGAAGAGGAAATCAAAGAAGCCTGCTGGGCCAATCATCATTGACCTGGATGAAGAAGATAGACAGCAGGAGCTCATGAAAGGTAACCACAAGCCTAACTGCCCTGTAAGATAATACTGTCCTGTGTGCTGCAAAAGCTTACATAAAGATTAGACGCACACATACAGAACATGTATGTAGAGAGTATTTTCTTATTGTTTTCCTTCAGGTATTGAAAAGGCCATAGCACGGCCTGGCCCAGACGTGGTCATCTGTGACGAGGGTCATCGCATTAAGAACTACCACGCCAGCACATCCCAGGCCCTGAAGAACATCCGTTCCCGGCGCCGCGTGGTTCTGACAGGTTACCCGCTGCAGAACAACCTTATCGAATACTGGTGCATGGTGGACTTTGTTCGGCCCGACTTTTTAGGCACACGGCAGGAGTTCAGCAACATGTTTGAGCGTCCCATTCTGAACGGCCAGTGTGTGGACAGCACGCCTCAAGACGTCCGCCTGATGCGCTATCGAAGTCACGTGCTGCACAGCCTGCTGGAGGGTTTTGTCCAGAGGTAAGCTTTGAGGAATCATGACCAAAAAATTAAAAAGCAGACGACTGTGGCACCTCACCACGCTCCCCTAAAATGCTTTTCTGATTTACAGACGAGGTCACGATGTGCTGCGAGATCAACTTCCAACCAAGGAGGAGCATGTGATCCTGGCGCGGCTTTCTCCAGTTCAGAGGGCGCTGTACACCGAGTTTATGAAACGCTTTCGTGAAGCGGGGAACAGCGGCTGGCTCGGCCTCAACCCACTCAAAGCCTTCTGTGTGTGCTGCAAGGTGAGACTGCTGTTCTGTGATGTTTGATCGAAACCTCTGGTACCGGGCTTGTTTGTTTACACTGACTGACCTGTCTGCTTCTCCTTTTATCCGATCGTGGCATGTCAGCTGAAATCCTGCTTTTTCATTTCCGAGTTACTTAGCCCAGTGTCTTGTTGATCCCTCCAGATCTGGAATCACCCCGACGTCCTCTATGAAGCCTTGCAGAAGGAGAATCAGGCCAACGAACAGGACCTGGACTTAGATGACATGACTTCGGCCGGTAACCCTCGCTGCCCTGCACCCGGTGCTGGCCTCAAAGCCAAAGTAGCAGACTCAAGCAACAGCAAAGTCAACAGCACCCCCCTGCCGCCACTTAACGCCTCTCAGGATCGAGCCAATCAAGTCATCACATATGAATGGGTACGAGACGAGTGCAGTCGATGTAAAGCTGCTTCATCTGCAGTTTTTATGAGGAACACAAAAGAATCCATTTGTTCTGAGGTTTTTGTCAGATGATTAAAGTGCTGAAAGGTTCACTCTGCCAGCATGTCATCTGTCTTGTCATGTCTATAAAGGTGTTACACTGCCTTGTTGTTTAACAGCCTTTTCTTCCATTTATGTGTCTCAGGCAAAGGACATAATGTCAAACTACCAGACAGGAGTTCTCGAGAACTCTGCCAAGATGGTTCTGCTTTTCCATTTGATTGATGAGAGTGTGAAGAGAAGAGATAAGATTTTGGTCTTTAGGTAAGTCCTCTGTCCCACGTACATGGCATTACACACAAATCTGCCATTAAGCAGCTTAGAGAAGAGACTCACTGCAGTTTAGCTAATTAATAAGACTTTTTTTTTTTTTTTTAGCTTTCCATGCATTTTACAAACGTCATACTTTAATCGCGCTTCATCTTAAGAAGCTTTCCTTTTAGGTTACTTCCACAATTGACCAACATTCTGACCTTTAGTAAGACAAATGAATGGCTGTTTGATGCCGTATGTTTATGACATTTGTGCTGTTGCCACTAAAAAGCATTTGAGTGATTGATGGTACCACTCAGCTTTTTATAAACCAGTCTACAGAACACACAGCCACTCATTTCATAAAAAACTTTTATTTCATCTCTAACTATTCTTATCCCCTGTAATCTTTATGTGCTGTGTTTCCACCAGCCAAAGCTTGTCCACCCTGACGGTCATTGAGGACTTCTTATCAAAGAGACCCATGCCGCAAGGCATCGCCTCCACTGACAGCCAGAGCCAAAACTGGGTTCGCAACCTCAATTACTACAGTGAGTCATTCAATCTGCTCTCTCCTTCAAAGCAGCCGTTGTGCAGAAAGTGTAGTTTTCACCACTCAAACCTCAAAGCTGGGGTTGTCTTTATTGATTCAGTATCCGTGGCTACAGTCTCCTCAATTTGATCATTTTTATCTGCAAATGTACCCTGTGCTCTGGAGAGAACTGTGTTTTTGAGTAGTTCTATTTCATATTTTATATATTCCATTGGGATGGCGACAGATTTCTCCAGTTGTTTTTGCAGAGATGACAGAATATTCTAAAATAATCCAATAAAAAATGCCCAAAAATAAAAATCTCTTGTTCACTGAGCTGCAGGTTTGAGTGTGTTCAGGTGTTGAGAGATGATGTGTGTCTGTCTGCAGGACTGGATGGGAGCACATCGGCCTCAGAAAGGGAGCGACTCATCAATCAGTTTAATGACCCAGAGAACACCTCAACATGGGTCTTCCTCTTATCTACCAGGTGCATGTCTCAGCTTTCTGTCATGTTTGTAATTTCTCACACTTCCTGCTCGCTCTGGCAGAGAGCTTCACATTCATTGTCTGTGTCTTTCTTAGAGCGGGCTGTTTGGGGGTAAATCTGATCGGGGCCAATCGCGTTGTTGTGTTCGATGCGTCCTGGAACCCCTGCCATGACGCCCAAGCGGTGTGCAGGGTTTACCGATACGGCCAGAGGAAGCCCTGCTACATTTACCGCCTCGTCTGTGACTTCACGTTGGAGAAGAAGATCTATGACAGACAAGTGTCCAAACAGGGCATGTCTGGTAAGAGATTTCAAAGATGCTCCCGGAAGCGTTCTTTATTAGCCATCATTCAGCTCGCTGTTTGAATCTTTCCGGTCTTAAAATCGTGTTTCTGTGCGTTTGAAGACCGTGTGGTTGACGACCTGAACCCAGTGCTGAACTTCACTCGTAAAGAAGTGGAGTCGCTGCTGCACTTTGTGGAGGAGGAGCCTGAGTCAGAGAAGATCAGTCCGGAGTCTCAGGGGGAGTTTGAGGCAGTGATATTACAAGCTTGTCAACTTTACCCAAACCTCATCACCAAGGTACAGCTGCATGACATGAGAGGTGTTTGCTGAAATGCCTCAAATCTCCTGTTTCAAGACATCGAGTAGACTCGTGCTAACCTCCAAAGTGTTTTCAGATCTACTTCATCAGCAAAAAGTTAAAGAACAAATGCTCCTTTTAACCTTTTTAATGTCTGATGTTGGTGTGGAAACAAAACACAAGGGAAATAGATTTAATTTTTTTTGAATAAATAGGGGGTTTGTTGTTTGATGGAGCCACCACGACTGTGTTAACGTGTTCTTAGTATGTGCCTTACTTTACATACAGGTGGGACAGTAGCCATCTTGGATTGCAGAGTACAAAAACACACAAACATCTGAAATGCTTCCACACAGAAAACACAAAAATTAACTAGAAAAGGTCAATCTTAACTGAAAATTGCTGATTTTTATCATTTTTTTTAACCCCATCTTGGACAATTTTATTGGCAATATCACAGTAAACAATAACAGTGGAGTACTTATCGGTAGGAGCACCTATGTTAGTGCATTTTCCCCATTCTAAAAGTCTCCAGTCTGTCAGTAGTCTGTAAGTAACCAGCAGTTATCAATATTGTGAATCCCTTATTAGTGATGAGCCTGCTTGTCAGAGACCAACCAGCCTCTTCCACGGCTGATCTCTAATTCCCTCTCTCCACGTCTCAATAGCAACCTTTCCACCATGAGTCTCTGCTGGTGGACCGGAAGGAGTCGAAACTGACCAAAGCAGAGAAGAGAGCTGCCAAGAAGAGCTATGAGGACGAGAAACGAGCCTCCGTGCCCTACTCCCGCCCGTCGTACGCCCCCTACTACCCAACCAGTGAACACGCGCTCGCAAACATACCAGCATTTAACCAACGAGGCTGGTGGGTTTCACACTGTGTGCTTTACCTCAAATTCCTTTCAGTTAATTGTTTGTTTAATTCTGATGTTATGCGGTGGAATTGCATTAATATGTACCCTGAGTGTTAGGGTACATATTAGGGTTAATCACTCAGGATTTTATTTTGAAATGACCAGTCTCTTTATGAATCTGGAAACCAATAGTAGCCTCCTCACTTGGCTGCACCACTGTTCCTCTTCACTTTCTAACATATTTCCAACACAGTAGTCCCTGCTGCTAGAGTATGTGTGTGATCGTCTCGTATTTCCAGGCGCCCCATGACACGGCCGGATGACAAGCCCGTGGCGAGCGTCAGGCCCATCCAGTCGACCCCAATCCCCATGATGCCTCGCCAGGTTGGCATGGGCATGGCTGGCTCCAGCTCTGCCGGCAGCCTGCCTGTCAACTTCCTGCAGAAAGCTGGCGTTTATGTGCAGAGGATTGTCACCACAACGGGTATGTCATGTTTTGAAACGACTGAAGTGTGACGTTTTCATTTGAGCATTTAAGTCTGTCAACACAGTTTAATGAATCTAACATCTGCCATTTGTCTGACTCTACAGATATTGTAATACCAGGAGCCAACAGCACGACGGATGTTCAAGCTCGAATCAGCGCCGGAGAGAGCATCCATGTTATCAGAGGATCTAAAGGTACCTGCGACATGACGAGCCCTCTCCTCACACAAAACGTTTTAGTGAATCGCTTCAATCTATTCATGTTTTCTACCACGCAGGTACCTACATCAGGACGAACGATGGAAGAATTTTTGCTATTCGATCCGGAAAGATCAGCAGACCAGTAGTAGGAGGTTCTGCTGCTCCGAGAGGTAGAATTAGTTTTTATTCTTCTGCCTTGCTACCACACAGTCATCATTATGTCTTCTGTGGCTCCAGAGGTCTTCTCTAAAGTTGTTGAAACAAATAGTGAAGATGTTCTTATCGGTGTTAGCTCAGTTTCTGCTTCAGACTTCAAAGTTATAAAAGAAAGCCTGCATTACATGTGTTGGGAGGGGCCCTAATGAGAAACGTTGCATTATAGGAAATGTAGGAGTGAGGAACTTGCTAGGAACTGTATGCAAGTGAAATACAAAATCTAAAGTACATCAACAACTGTCAAGATATTTGTCGTTTGTGCAACACATTGTCTCATCTGTTTGTATCCGGACTTGTACATGTTTAGTGATGTTTCTCTTCTCCTCTCGACAGACGCCGCCGGTTCCCTGATCCATCCAGTCAGTAACGGCTGTTCATCCCCCGTGGATCAGCAGCAGCGCTCTCCCAACGGCGAGCAGCGTCCCTCCTCTCCCTTGAGCACCGAGATTCTCCGAGAGCTCAGCCGCTACACTTCCTCCACAAGTGACGCCGGCGGCGGCATGGGAAACGAGTTGCCGTCGCCGTCGGACGCTTCGTCTGTGTCAGCGGGAGATGGAGGCAGTTCACAGAACTATCAGACCGGTGATCTCAGCAGGCAGCTCGGTGAAGATCTCCTGAGCTCAGCGTTAGAGATGCGAGGGGGTAAACGCAAGAGTACTGAAAGCCAGAGCAACACACAAACAGGAGGCAAGCGTCCTTCTGCTGCCAGCCATTTCCCCGGGCTGTCCATGGGCTCCAGTGGGCTCAGTTTTCCTCCCGTGGGTCTGAACTCTTCCTCCCTTCTGGGGAACCTCGGTCACATGAGTCACCCACTGCTGATGGCTGGTAGCGGTGGGTCGTCATTCCTTCAAACACCAGGACAAACACTGGCTGACCTACAGACCATGTTCCCCTCTGCCGGAGCAGACCTACTGAGACAACCTGCCACAGGAAACGGCCACCTTCCCACCCCCTCTTCGTCCTCTCTGCCCACCGTTTTCTCCTCCGCTTCCACCACCATTCCCATGTCATCCACACCCTCAGCAGCAACCTCTTCCTCCCTAACGCCAGGCTCTCTGCCTTCATACTTGATGAACCCCAACATGGCCGGCCTGCTTTCATCCAGTTTCCCTCTCAACTACAGCCAGTCGTTGCTCTCTGAGTCGAGGATGTTCCCCTCCCCTCTCCTCTCGGGGTCGGGGGGATTCTCTGCCCCTAACTCAAGCTCTACCACATCCAGCTTTCTCTCCCATTTCAACAATCCAACTTCCAGCCTGTTGGGGGCAGCTCTGACCCAACCGGACAGACATCCGAGTGCGGAGAATGGCGGCGACAGTTCTGATGACGACGTCATAGAGGTGACAGGACAGTAGAGTCTCAAAGAGTCCCAGAGAGGCACCGTTACACACAATCCACCATCGAAAGCACATTAGGAATGGGAATAATGACATGTTTAAACATCTAAATGCTGTTGCAGTCGCCACCCTGACCTCTGAATTTGCTGCGTTCTTGCTGCATTGTTACATCCTGAATGTCTGAAAGCAAATCAGCTCAGAAGAAAAAAAAAAAAGAAACTTTGCAATGATTAGATGACTGGACATCTAAAAAAATGAATAAATAAAATTTCTCAGGAAGTAAAATTAGTTGATCCTTATCACCTACAAAACAGTAAAATTGGCCAACTTTATGATAAAACTATGTGTGTTTTGACCGTTTATCAGCACTTGAACACCTTCTATTGTTCAATCATTACTGAAATAAATTCCCGTTCCTAATGTGCTCGTTAAACTTCGCAAACACACACGGACTCTCACCGGCAAACGAGAGAATCATCTTGTACCTTAACGACTGAACAAAGTCAAGAGTAACAAAATCCTAATGCTGAATAATCCCAGACTTGTTCAGCTGGAGCACCAGAGCAGTGGGAACAGACCTTTGTCATACGGGGACCAGCTGAACCTTTCAGGGGCTGCGAGGAGCCTCTTCTGCTTCATTTCTGAGCAAGGCCTCGTCGCGCCGTCTGTTCTGTTTTTTTGGTTGGTTGGTTTTTTTTCCTCTCTGACTTCAGACGGAGTGGCGTGATTAAAACTGCTTCATGTTGGATTTTCTCTGATATATTGCTGTGAAAAGGCTGAGTGCAAACAGCCACACTCACCTGCTGAGAACTCGTCCGCTCGCTCGAGCAACTGGAACGCTACAACAAACAGAAACTGAAAGCAGCTAACAGGATCTTCACGTTTTTGTCCAAACCTACAATATATTTAGAGAAAATCCTTCAAGGCTTGTCTTTAACAACAGAAGTTTTAGGCTTTCAGAGCATATTTTAGTCTTTAGCAGTTTGATAGACATCGTAGCATCCCCTGTTGAGAGGACGTTAGTGTGATCCTGTACCTGAACATGTTGATATTTTGTAAATAACAGTCATTATAATTGTTTATATTGCAAGTCAATACTGTGCAGTGTGTAGACTTTGGTTGTAGAGGGATGGTTTATTATTACAGACTATCACCATCATAAACACGCCCCGGCATAGACGCAGGGGAAACCGATTTATGTTCAACGTTACGAGTTTTCCTTTAAAACTAAAATGAATGTACTTTCATGGTTAGCCTTTTGACGACACAGGGGGCAGGGACATGGATTCGGACTGTGTTCTTTCATTTTTAGCCTTAAACAACACAAAGGGGTCTTGAGTCTTAGCATTTATCTTAGTACGTCCTTTTTACTAAATCTGTTGGAAGAACTACTGACGCTTAGACAGTCAAAACACAAGTCGAAGGCAGATTCAGCAATGTGACTAAAAGCACCACGTGTGAAAGCCCAAAGGAGCTAAAACCAAGGTTCAGTGTTGCTAGCTCAGAAAAGCTCGTCGTGTCTCTTTTGTTACAGCTCTCTCCACCGTTTGTTGAAGTCGACCTACACCCGACGTGTAGTCTCGACTGTGGCGACGTTCTGAAGATGTTTTCAGAAACTAGCCGAGAACAAACGTCACCTAAACTATAGACAACATCGCATTCACGCAGCCCGAGAGGATAAAACCTTTAGTCGATGTAGCCGCCAGCCATCCAACCAGATACCCATCATTCGAGTAGAACCGCTTGTGACTGTGGCAGAACCGGGTCAGGAGATGTGGTGGCCTTACCAAACTGACGGTGCCATTCTGTGGTAGCTTCTCACCTAAACGCAGTGCAGTGTACGTAGCTTCTGTCAGTAGTGTCAGTCCGTGTAGGTTATGCGGTGCTTTAGGGAGTTTAGGTCTTTGCTGTTCTCTGTAGCCCTGTGTTTCTGTGTTGTCATGACACCTCGAGGTAGTTAGATGTAGGAAAGTCACTTTCCTCCGTTGGTGAGCTAGACGCAGTGATGATTAGCCTTTATAAAACACTGGATAACCTGAGACAACAGATCATTCTCTTATTTTGTTTCTTGCGGGGACCTTTTGCCCCCGCGGTTTGAGTACTGTTCACGTTTTATTTGCTACTGGCTACTTCCCGGTCATTACGGATGCTTCATTTCTGTCAAGGACGTTTTGGGAACTTGTGATTTTGTTTGTTTGGAAGGTGGAGCGGCCACTTTGTGGAAGGATCCTGTCTGCTTGTGAACTGTACAAGGTACATCATGCTGACCCCATGTCTTTACTCTCAGCCTCCGCAGCGAGTTGGAAACATCTTTTCTGTTTTTTCGGGAATACTTCATTTTTTAATAATGTTTTTTATAACTTCTTATTGGTGTTCACTCACCTGCCAGTCGTGTCCCTTATTTCAGTCTACGTGTCTGAAATTTTATTTATTTATGATGGAAAATATATTGCTTTTGTAATTCTGTTTTTTTAAAACTTTTTGTTCACTTTGACCCATTAACGGCTGATCCAGTAAGAATTTCATACATGCAGCCTAAATCGAAGCAAAATATGACTGTGTTATCAATGTTATTTTAACAATAAAACACTCTTCTATGGCAGTGTGAATCATCGACAAGTGATTTTATTTCCCAGCACGTCATTAGCGTGGAATATTTTAGCAGAAGCAGCATCAAAAGCCAAAATGGCAGGATAATCAATGACCTGAGATACAAAAATTCAACATATACTCAGGACTGTAGCCAGGATTTGCAAAAATACTGAGGTCATGAATCCAAAAACCCAAACAGAAATGTATGACTGAACACCTAAATAGTGTTGGAATTACTTCACCTTTGAGTCTTATGACAAGCAGCGTGCAAAGATTAGGCAAATACTGTCGCTAGCAGGCAAACGTGCTCACGATGAGGACGCTTTTAATTAGCGCTAAACAAGAAACAGAAATCAGGCTGGTGGGAAAGTTGTTCGTTTTGCTGAGAATCAAAAGCTAACGTGGCTAAAAATATCCGATTCCACTCACAAGAGCCATGTAGGGTATTTGTATAAGCATAAATTCCCAGAAAAAAAAAAACAGAAGACATGACCCCAGTGTTTGTGTTGGCAGCTACAGTCCTGTATGCAACACAGTGGTTCTCAAACTAGGGTCGGGACCCCCCCTGGGGAGTCACAGAGCCACTGCAGAAGGGAATGGACGGATAATTTATGATCAGAAAAGACTATGTAGTTGCCATCGTGCTGACCTTTATGTCACTAAAATTCAACTTTGATCCCCAAGAGGCTGTTAATGATTGACTGAAGCTTTGGGCTCATGAGCCTGTGAAGGAGGGCAGTTAGAGAACCACTGGTGTAGGCAAGACAAGACATGTTTCATCATCCACTGGTGCAGAGAGGCATGAAATCAGCTCATTCAGACTTAAATAAAAAATCAGTCTCCAAAAGTGACATCTCTTTGGCAGACCTCGCACAAGCACCGGTTTCCTTGTCCGTCTCACGTCCTCTGTCAGGACTGCAGCCGTTTCTTGGCCGTGTAAGCGCTGGAGACCTGGTTCATTATGATGAGGGCGCTGAGAGCAGGGCAGAGTGCTGACAGGTACCAGGTGTATTCCCTGACAGATGCACTGAACCAGGTGGAGGAGAGGCCGAGGAGCAGGCTGCCGCTGCCAAGCAGGTAGGTGACGAGTCCAGATGCCGCGTGGTAGCGCTTGAGTCTGGCCAGGGACCAGCCTTTGGCTAGAGAATGGTAAACGAGAGGCAGAGCTGCCAAAGACTGCGTTCCCGCCACGCAGACGGTGAGCAGGCCCAGGAGGCCGTGCCACGAAGTGAAGTGAGGTTTACCCATCAGGTGTTTGTTGTAGAAGATGACAGCCAGGCCCAGGACTGCACAGGACACACACAGGCCCTGCAGGACCCAGTGAACACCACCTTTGGTCTTGTGTGGCAGCTTTCTGATGGGGGAGGCGTGGGGCGAGAAGAGGAGTATGGCTTCTGTCATGAAGAAGGAGAACTAGTGGGGAAGAAAGAACATTAATTCATTAATTTTATATTATCTGCACATCTGACTAGACCTGGGCAATGAAACGATGCTCCATCACACCAGTGACAGACGCTTCAGCTACAGCAAGAACAACCTGTCTGATAGAATGTTCAGATGCAAACCAAATGCATGCCATAAAAATCCTGTGTTGTCTTTTTGCTTTGTTGACCCCCTTTGTTGAACAGTCATGCTGCTGTAACACTTGAATTTCACTCTGGGATTCATAAAGTCGGTCTAAGTTTGAAACACACTCCAGTGAACTCGGAGTGTCGCTGTCCCATGCAGGTCTCTTGAGGCCTGCTAGGCTGCAGCTGCCCGGGCCTCTTGTCACCCCCAGCCTCCTCCCTTGTGAGACAGGCTTCACGTCCTAAAGACACCCGTCTCCCACCACCTCCATCTAAATGATGCACTCCCATCAGGCTGCTTCAAGGACTCAGAGACTTTATGTGGGAGGGAGTCCGGTCTGGGGACACCCAGTCCTGGCTGGCGACTCTGACCCTTAACCTAACTATGCTGCAGCGGCTTCAGTCAGGTTGCTCTCCCTGCACCTCTGGGTCGGTTTTATTTTATTGGTATAACTGTGGCTCGGTGGTTAACACCGTCACCGGTTCGTGTCCCGGTGAGGACACCTTGGATCTTTCTGTGTGGAGTCTCCATGTTCTCCCTGTGCAGCGTGGGTTCTCTCTGGGTTCTCCGGCTTCCTGAGGTTAACTGGTGATTCTAAATTGTTGGTAGGTGTGAATGTGAGTGTGCTTGTTGGTCTCTCTGTGACAGATGGTGTCCCCTGCCTTCACCCTGAGTCCACTGGGACAGACTCCAGCAACCCCAGTGAGGACTGAGCGGTGCGTAGATGATGGATGGATGACGGTGAGATCATTTCTTCATCATTATTTATTTTTATGTGTGCGTTTATCATTGATTACGTCAAAACTTTTGCTGGTGTAACTTGATAAAGAAGCTAAAAAAAGTGAATTTCAAAGTAATAAACATCGTGATCAACTATATGGCCCAGCACCATGATTAACATTTTTATCTCCAACTTCTTTTTTTTTTTAATCAACAAAAAACTGTGAAAATATACTCTGTCGTCCAAACTGATCTCTTTAAATTGCATATTTGAGGCTCCTCTTAAATTGACAGAACAGCTGCTGGTCTGCTGCTAGTTGAGCCATGTTTATTGACACATGTTTATTGACACATGCATGAGTTATTTCTGATGTCAGACTGAAAACTTTTCTCCAATCTGGTGAATCCATGAGTGGAATGAAAGTTTTAATTTATCGTGAGTTCAGACTTACAGCGAGAGTCATCAAGAAGGGATGCCACGAGAACCAGCCTGAAAAGACAAAAAAAAAAAGAATGAAATCACATCAGGAGCTGAAAAACACTGAAACGTGTGAATATGAGGTTTACTCACTGCTTCCGGGTCGAGACACAAAAGCAATGAACAGAGTGAAGCCGACGCAGATCAAGTGTGACAGAACCGAGGACGCTGTTCGGGTCCAGCCGGGGAGTCCAGGCTCAGGTTCTTTCACCATGTTTGAACTGAAGTGAACTCAGTCTGTCGCTCACTCGGTCTGTGTGAAGCCTGGAAGCAGAAGTGATGCTGGAGCAGAAGTCTGACTTCCGGTTTCATTTAAACGCAACAGACTGAACAACAACCGATAACATAACTTTATCTTTACTAATTAGAAACACCCACTAGTCCTCAGATCTCTTGGCGTGATCTGCGTTTGCTGCTGTTTTGCTCCACCGAGTAGAAAAAATACTACTTCCGGTTGTATTTTTCAGAATAAAATGGTTTGCCAATCTAGTATCACAAAACAAAACTTTAGGCACACTGTGTGTTATTCTGTGGCTATACCAATACCATTTCCCCCCAAACGAAAGGTCTCTTTACATATAAATGACAAACTGGACAATAATGTTATTTTTATTTAGACACATTTCTAAATAATTTTGCTTGGACTTGAATTACCACAAACAAGCAACAAAGCAAGCACCTACTGCCAGAGCTGAAAAATTAAGCCCATTTGGATGTTCCAATAACAGCAGAAAGGCCACTTGAGGCCGGCTTTTAAAACATCACCGTACACTTCCTGCTGAAATGCTCAATTTTACAGCAGAAACCAACATTTTGTATACAAAAAACTGGTAGAAAAAAAAACAGTTTTGATCTCTAACTGCAATCTAAAAAGTTATTCCAGGAACCTATTTCCACCACTTCAATGCCTAGTTCCAAGATTTTAAAAATAATTCAATTTGCTGACTTGGATAAACTATTTAAGTTGTAAACATTGCCTTGATTGGCCGGGTTTATAAAATAATGTTGCATCAGCCTAATAGTGTGTGATTTAAACTCAAGTTTCTGCATTAGCTGATTTAAATTATTCAAACTGAGGTACCC